TCAATTCATATTGCAATAAATTATAGATCGATTCAAATGGTACTTGAGCTTTCTCTTGAAAGTCGATTGAACAATCATAGAAACAATATTTTGAAAGAGTATTGACATTCTTTTTTTCAAAACACCTTGATAAACTTGATAAAGGATTGAAATGTCATTTGAAGTCTTTTTACCATTAGAAATGGATATGGCATAAATAATATAAAGTGATTTTGTTTTATAACATGCAAGAAAGTTCTTGCATCTACAAATAAAGGTTTGGTTATACTAGACTTATAACTTTTTACTTAGTTAAAAAAAATCTTAATTGTATTGTGGAAAATGTGAATACTATGAAAAATTTAATTTATTTAAGGATTATATTTTTTAGCCACAATAAGCTTAAAATAATTAAATTAAAGAAAATTATAATTATATTGAATATTATGAAGCTATTATAATAATTTGTTAATATATCTATACAAAAGGTTTAATAGATAACATTTCTAGAAGACAATAGACGACCATTTATGAATTTTACATGTATATCTTTAGTTCTCTTTACTAAAAGTATTCTATGTCTTTTAACAAATTCTTCATCTAAAAAGAAGCTAAGGTTTTTAAATAAAACAAGGTAGAAGCTTTGTAATTTTTAGGTTCTAAAAAAATTCTATTGTAAAACAAAAAGAAGGTTATAAAAATAATAATACCTTCACCAGGTGTTGTAAAAGATTCCAATCACACAATCTCTATTATGGTTGGACAAACTTGTTTTCCAATATATTGTCTTTTATAACAATTATACTTATGATTTTGTAATTATATTGTTTTTTTAGACAATATTGAATATTATTCTTAGATTTTCTATAATATAAGCAGAATCTTTTATGTTAATGGCAAGTCTTTTCTTGCTCAATAAGAGATTAAAACATATTGTATTAGTTTGTATGTTGTGTAATTTTAAATGTATATGTTGAAAAGATTTTAGTGTTGCTTTTGAATTATAGAAACATTGAAGCATACTTGTGTGTCTCTCAAGTCAAAATTCAAAAAGCTAATTGTCATACTTTATAGCAAAGTCAATTACTTAATTCAAAGTTTGAAGGTGAAATAAATTCAACATCAATTTTTTTACCTCATATTATAATCTATAGTTTTTTTTTTTATTAAATGCAATATCATCATATTAGATATCAATTGTAAGTTGTCAAAATCGTAAATCATTTAACATTATTGATTCATATTTTTGTTATAAAATATAAATCATATTGATTATTAAATAAATTATATTATATTTTTTATGCTTAGATCAAAATTTTATTAAAAAAACCTCTAATTATCTATTATTAAATAATATTATTCAAAAAAGATAAAAATCATGATAAAAATAAAACTTGAAAATAATATTTCAATAAATTTAACTTGTGATCTTGGAATTGAATATCTTTCAAGTTGAAATTCAATCACTAGTTATACTTAATTGATGAATCCTTGAAACTTTAATCTTATGCTATTAAACTTCTTAAAGAAGATAATTCTTAGTTTTTAATACTAAAAAAAATATTGTATTATAAAAAAAGTAACATGATTTCGTACAGATGTTAATGAAGCTCCAATCATCTCTAAATCTTCACTTCTTGTCAATCTTTCTGCTCCTTAAGGTGGTAAATTGAATTGGTGTATTGCAAGTATTAACTGTGTCATTTGTTATTGCATTTAGACCAATAAATTCTTGATTATGATAAGCTTTGCGATAATAACATAATAAAAAAGTAGATGTTTAATATCACTTAAGATAAGTAGAAGAGAGGACTTAAGAACAAAAAAATACTAAAAATAATATTATTTTAGAAGTAGGTAATTCACAACTTCTAATATGCTTGTGTCTTATCAAGAAAAAAAATAAAATAAAAAAATAGTCTACTTTTAATCAAGAAAAGACCAAGTTCTAATATTGTAAGTGTATTCTTATCAATTTGTGAAGGACAAGAACTTGAAGAATTTAAATAAATATGTGAGATATTTTTCAAAGAAAAAAAAATATATATATATATATATATATATATTCAAGAAAAAATTGGAATGGCTATTGCCAAAGACTAAGACACTAAAAATTCTTGAAAGTAGACTAGAAGCAAAAAAGAAATAATAATAATAAGAGTGAGGAAGGCTTGACTCTTATATCTATATATAGTATTTAAGTAAAAGCTACATAGTAACATTCTATAGGAACTCTAATAAGTGTCTAACTTATAAGATAAGCTTCTTGTATGTGTGCCACACGTCTAACTTGTTGGCTAAGTTTTTAACCTACTAATCATATATAGACATGTATAAAAGCAAAGCCACGTCCATAAATCTTCTAAAAGGTTCTTTTATAAGAAATCATCAAATTTATTTACTTTTATCTACTTCTTCTTGTTCATATTATCTATGTAATTATTCGAAGAAATATGGATGTTCATTGTAGTTCAACCGATGGCATTTAAAAAATAAGACCAAACTCTTAATGGCTTCTTGTATCTAATTACAAATGAAAGGTAGGGTCCAATTTGTAATATTTAAGACTTTTAAATTTATTTTATAAAATATAGAGTAAACTATTATAGTAGGATTTTTTATTTTTTATTTTTATAAATATATACATTAATTTTATGCAAGTAAAAAAATACAATCCAAAGACATATGTAAAGTATGAGATATTTTTGATGAATCCACCTTATGCCTCAAAGATTCAATGAAAACAAGAAATAAATATAATCCAAAAAAAAAAGTTTTAAAAAATAAAAATATAATCTATAGATATCTATTATATTAACAAGGTCTATTTGTAAATCGTATTCTAGTTCTACTAGCAAATGATTAGATTGGATTATTTAAAAAAATTCATGACCATACTTCAATTTTTTTTAATTCTAAATCTCTCAAGTAAAATCCAAAAAATTCTTATTATATCATTTATAAATATATAAAAATAAAATTATATCAAGTAGAAAAACTTCAAAAGTTGTTATATTATGATTTATTGCTATTTAAGTCCATAAAAATAAAAAAATCATGGTTGAATTATTAAACTATTCTAATTAATTAAAAGTTGTATCAAAGTAGTCAAAGTTATTTCAAAAACAAAAATAATTCTTATAAACTAAAAGAATTACTCAAAGTATTTTATGTACCAATAAATGAAGTATGCTTTGACTTTCTTAAATACTATTAGAAAATAAGATCTAAATTTTTGACATATAATATAAAATTTGGTAGAATTTTTTTTTATTTTAAGCATAATAAGTAAAATTTTCAAGTCTTAAAATAGGCCAATATGTTATTACCAAACATCTTATTTAATTAAAAAAATCATATGGTATAAATCAAAAATCAAAAAAGAAAGAATGGTCATATGCTTAATTTGGCACCAAGGTGTGGTTGTAAATGTAAAGAGAGCAAAACAAAATCAAAACATATTCTCTAATTGTATTTTATGCATATCTTAAAAAACCAAAATAATTCTATAAATATTTTAAAATTATACTTAATCAAAATATATATGTGTTTGGCCTATATTATTAATATAAAAATTAGTATTAAATATAAAACAACTTAATTTATAGAAAACATTTATTTGACAATTAAGTATCTTTGTTTGCAAATTGCCTCAATTTTAAACATTTCGATACTATATAGATTCTCTTAAAAGAAATTTGCATCTAAACAATACAAATTCAATATAATTCTTTTAATTTGAAGATGTTATATAGAATAACTTACAAATTTAGAGCCAAACATGGAACAACCTACTAAAGTGCAGCAAAATGATGTAGAAAGTTACAAAGAAAAAAAAAAAAAATTGTAAACCAAACAACTACAATATTTTACTTAAATATTGGGACAAATTGTGGATGGCTTAAAATGTATTATAAAATAGTATATATATATATATATATATATATATATAATGACCAGCCTACATTTTGCTAGAATATCAAAAAATCCCATTGGCTATGGCAATGGGGTGGTAAAATCTAGTTATGGATTTAATCCAATTATTGCCAAGTTACTCAATTATTCGAATAAAAAGATGAGACAAGCTTGGCTGGGATGGGATGGGTTGGATTGGTGACGGCAATAATTGCAGCAACACAAATGAACTCAATCCTCACATAGTTGACATGAATGACATGACACTGTTTTTTGGTTTTTTTAATTGCAGTAAGAAGCACTGATTGGTGTATTGTGTTTTTATTTTTATTTTTTTGATTGGCTACTAAAAATATACTTGAATTGGCAAAGCCAATGGTTTAACCACTAGTACATAGTGGTTAAACCATTGGCTTTGCTAATTTATTATTTATATATATATATATAATAAATTAGTGGCAAACAAGAATTCTTCCATATGGCCTTATAGTATTAAAAAAATAGTTATTTAATTAAATATATTTATGTTAACTATAGACTTAAATGCTCTTTAGTCTGCCCATAGGTGTAGGATGGAAGGACTTAAGAGACAATATAACTTCACTCTTTCATTAAATATATCCTATTTTGTGAAAAAATAAAATAAAATAAAAAACGTCCTCGTACTTGTAAGTAGAATCTCGTCGAGATTGCAGCCCTTCAGCCGTTTACCTTATCTGCAATAGCACCTAGCACTGGATTAGCATAAAATATCATGCAGGAGAAAGGAATCTTGGAGAGGAATGGTGTAAGTTGATGAGACAAACATGATCATAACAATGGCAATAATAATTACAGAAATATTTGACGCAAGAGCAGCTGTCTGATTGGTGACAAACATAACTTTGCTGCAAGATATTGACAGACCGAATCAGAAGTAAATGAGCTAAACGGTATACTGATGAATTTGAGGAGAAAAAGTAGATGATTTGTTTCGAAAATCCTTGCAACCTTCCATTCTAGCAAGCAAGAAATTGAATCTCAAAAGCTAATACACAACGAAATAGAAACAGAACTATCTAAGAAATATGAAGCCCACGGCTTTTAATAGAATTAAGTACACCAGCTAAAGAAAAAAAAAGGTTCCTAGCAAAATGTCCACAAAATTTTATGACCAACATTGTGTGAAAGATGCGAAATGCGAAATGCCAATAGCCAACCCTAAAACTATATTAGCTGGCAAACCATACAAAGAGCAAGTCGTACCAATGAAGGATCGAGCCCGTCTATCCTCCGGGTCCGCGACCAGCTCTGAAAAAAACAACATGCTGTTTACACAACCTCTATACCCCTGAGACCATCAAGCCGGGGTTACAACTGCACTGCTTTAATACAGTCGCTCTATCCTCTAAGTAGGTGACAATATACGCGCTTGAATCTTTTCCCAGAACAATTGCAAACCAGTTGATACATACCACTTTCCAGCGCAAACCCATCTAGCCTTGCCATTATGCCAATGATAATATCCGTCAGCTAAATGACATGGGATAGACGCAACATTCTTGCGATTTGAGGAACCCATAGAGCTTAAAAGCACTTCAATGATGTCTCATGGTGTATATGCAGTTGTGCCACGTTGGGGGAAGATAGAACAGGGGGCGATGACTCAGAATCGTGGCAACCATGTGATTCGAGTCTTCTATGAGAGCTCATGATATTTTAATATACAAGCTTACGCCTTGAGAGCCAAGCACTAGTTCACTGTGAAATGCGTTGTTTCCAAGACAAACCTTGAAGAACTAATGCCAAAATCCGTAAAATCTCCTGCGTTGAGGATCTAAGAACCTAGCTGCTCTAGCCTCACTCATGCTTCCTGCAGGCTTTGAACTCCCCAACGCATACCATGGAGTTCTTGGCAACGAAGAAGCCTTCGGTGGAGCCGAAACACTGTAGCGTCTGAATGAATCTGAGAGTTGTCGAAAGAAGCCTCCAGAGGCACTTGCAGCAGTTGAAGCAGAAAAAGGCATCCGCTTCCGCTGTTCAAGTTCCAAAGTCTCCAAGGGTCCTGAGTCGTAATCAACACTAATAAAGGAGGAGTCGCCCAGAAACTGTGTGTTTTGCGTTTCGACCAAGTCAGAAGCTGTTGAGGATATTCGATTAGCACGCCCATCATCTATGACTTCTGTTTCATTGTAGACAAATTTCAGGGCCTGCACAACCTCACCCATGAATGGTCGATGAGATACTTCGGGTTGTACACACATGGACGCTATCGCGGCAACCTTAGCAAAGTGGTCAAATGGAAAGTTGTCTTTGAGACAAGGATCCACAAGCTGTCGTAGTCCATCCTTGCTTGTAAGGAGTGGACGTGCCCAAGTAACTAGATTTTCTTGCCCAGGTGGCTGAGACATGTCAACGGGTTTCCGTCCCGAGAGGAGCTCAAGAAGTACCACTCCATAACTGTAAACGTCGCTCTTAACAAGAAGATGTCCTGTCATTGCGTACTCAGGGGCAACGTACCTGCAGTTTGAATCAACCAATAGGTCAGTGCAGAAACCAAGGCTAAGTCCTGACATTCTGATTAATGTGGTAGTTCTAGATGTGGTCCAATGTAAAAGAACGGTCTACTTCAGAAATCCATGTTTACAACTAAACCCTGTCTCAGTCACCTGGTTGCATGGAATTCTCGGAAAAAACGATTGTTTTCAGAAACTTGACCAAGAGAATCCCATCCACTAGCGAGGAGGTTTCTGCTACAATGTAAACACAAGTTTGGAACAAGCTAACATATGCGATCTTGTCAATATATCTTAAAATGGTATAGAAACGTAGTAGACAGTGGATTCAGCTTACCCAAACGTGCCCATTACTCGAGTAGAAATATGCTCCTTTCCTCCATCAGTTGCAGATTTAGCTAAACCAAAGTCGGATACTTTTGGAGTGTAATCGTCCTCAAGTAAAATATTGCTTCCTTTAAAGTCTCTGTGAATCACCCGAGGTTGAGAATCTTCATGTAGATATGCTAGACCACGAGCAGCTCCTAAAGCAATTTTGACACGTGCATCCCAGTTGAGGGGAGCAGTATATTTTTCTAGACCTGAGGATTACAAGAGAAAATATGATTAAATCAGCCATAGTTCACCGCCATATCTTCACAAGTGACGTGCGATTTAAAGAAGTACACAAAAGTGGTCTCTATTTTCAGGTACATACCATGTAAATGAGATTCCACACTGCCATTTGTAATAAGCTCATAAACCAAACATCGTATTTCCTCAGTGCAGATGCCAATTAGCCTCACAAGGTTGCGATGGTGTAATCTGCTCAGCATTTCTACCTCCGCAATAAACTCACGACCAACCTGATGGTCATCCCTTGTCAGCACCTTGACAGCCACTTGAATACCACTGTCCAGCACCCCTTGGTAAACTCGTCCGAAGCCCCCTTCGCCGACTACATTATCAGGTCTGAAATTATCGGTTGCTCTTTCTAATTCTGCTAAAGTGAACGTCTTCGCAGTACCCATATAGTTTGCCATGCTAGATCCGTAAGAAATTGTTGCAGAGCTTGCCAGACTTCCGGATAATAATGACCCTGCAACGACACAAAGCGCTCAGGACATCAGATTTGACAAAGATGGAAGCCAGCAATGTGAGTGCAGAGAATATCCACAAACCGTTATAACTAAGAGCTTTTCTTTGGCCATATTATGAAAAAAAACGTTGACCAAACAACTACCCAAACAAACTAGATTGATCAGGAATGATGGTAAGAAAGTCCAGAAACCCTTGGGAATGTCAGTAGGAAACGTAGTAGTAGGCTTTATTCAAAGTGACGGAGCAAGAACAAAAAAAGAATGAGGAGCGGAAAAAGTTAGCTAACTGTCAAGAGACCAATAACGAATGTACAAGAAACAACACTATGGCATTTTCTTAAAACTCCATACATACTTCATTTCGATGGAACAGGTGCACACCTTCAGGTTTAGAGTTGAAATAAGCATTCATTCTCAGTTGGATCGGTTGCACACCTTCAGGTTTTTGATTGAAATAAGAATGTTGAGGACCAACAACCAAAGGTGGAGTTTTCTCTTTCAGACTGCGGCGTAGGAGTATGAGCCACATAAAGCCAATAAATAGCAACACACCCATAACCGAAGACAAAGCAATCACAGCGATCAGTCCTGAACTGAGCTTCTGGTTTTTGCTATTTGGGTTCACTCCAGATGGAAGCTGGTTGGCAGGACCTGGCGGTGGAACATTTCCAGGGAACTGGGCGGGTGGAGGAGGAGAAAGTCCTACACGACACAAGAATCAGGCCAAGAGGAAAAATAACTGCTCATAAGGAGTTAGCATGAGATTAAGACCTAAAACCTGTGAATGACTTCTTCAGGATCTAAGTTTCCAATATTACGTAGACTGAATTCAGAGTGGCTGGTTACCTGGGTAAGTGATATAAATAACAGAGTAGATTCCAAATGGCGTCTCGTTCAGTGGAACTTCACCACCCCACAAACGTGTGGCAAGAAGATGAGCTGTAGTATTATCGAACTTCGTATCCAGAGGAACAAACTCAGCACTCACGATAGTCTTGTCCTGGTCAGGTTCAACAGAATTAGCCCCTAAAATACGGACTTGGCTAGTTTGTAAGAAGAGTCCACTCGCGAGCTCCTTGGCTAGCTCAGCCACCAAGGGAAAAAGCTTTTCCAGCTTGATTCCCAACTGAAATTGTGCGCGCATAGGGATGACACAGCTACACGAAGGTGCGCCTGGCAGCGTGTAAGTGTAGCCATCTGGGCAAGCTTGGCGGCAGTCTGTAAAATCAACACAAACTATCAGAACTTTGTGTTGAGATGTGTCTTCCAGATAAGGCCTGCAGTTCAAAAGCTATGAATCCCAAGACATTCTGAAAAACAAGTGATGATACAATACAAAGAGAAACAAATGATAAGGAGGACATCGATTCAAAAGCAAATCGTAGTCCAGGTGCTTCACCTGCTGGAGGAGTGAAGTTTAAAGATGGCGAAGGACTGCCAGGTTCAAGAGGAGGCGGCGCTACAAATAGAGTGTAGAATAGTCAGGAATGAAAAGATGAGAAAAACTAAAAATTAAAGACGTCGTCGCGAGAAAAAGACCCTTGATCAACCCAAACTTCAGAAATAAAGCGGTAGCACCTCAACAACCAAAAAGTAAAAGCAAATAAGAATAGAAGGAGAGAAATTATCTGATGAAGCAAAGTAGAAAAATTCAAGCTGGACACTAGAAAGAACATGTTTGTCTTTCATAATCCAAACATATATATATATATATATATATATATATATATTCGAATACTAGAGGATCACCTGCTGAAGGAGCTTCTCGAAGTGTATTGTTGAGACTACTATCAGGTGGGGCATCTGTTGCAGACACAACCAGAGGTGCAGATGGACCCGACGCATCTTTTAAAGAGATGGATTCATCAGAAGACGTTTTCCCATAGGTTACTGTAGATGTAGGAAAAGGTAAAGGTCTTCGTGCAAAATGAACCAAGGAGGGGTGTCCTAGGGTCAATAAACCTCTGCGAGAAGGTACCACCAGTGCCAAGCTCTCCAGATTCTTACAATGTAAATTGTTGCGGCATGCAGTAATTTCTTCCCGTGTGTCTACACCACAGGTCCAAAAATGGAAAACGTGCTTGAGAAATAAAACTTTGAGAAGACAGACAAAAAAATAGACTAAATTTTGATATGAAGCATAAGATCCCGATAACAATCCACTTGAAAAAAGTTTTGCTTTAGCTGCAGATCAGGAACAATTCACTAAGACGGATATCAATAGGTGAGATGAAAATAAACTCAAGGAAACACATACTTACCATAAGCAAGGCTTGGAAGAGTTGCTGCCAACAATAACACACTCAGCAACTCTGCAATCCAGCAGTGGTTGCTGCGCATTGTGACAAACGCTTAAACACATGAATACCGTTGAGAGTAGCCCGCTAGAGGCTACTACAATTACCCTGTTTTCCTCGACGGAATTTTTATCTGAGCTAGGAATGACACCATACTCATACAATCTGCAGACGTCTAGATGAAAGACTCCCGAGCCACTCCAAAAACTTAATGAATACCAACATAAACTGATCAAATGCTTGAAAGGCTTTCGACTTCACTCCTTGCAAACCAAAACGGTCCTTCCTGCATCGGCGACCTTTCATTCATTGCCAAAACTTAATATGCGTAGGTCCTTCATTCCGCTGGCTCCTGTGTTCATGTATCATACAGCTATGCATCTCACACAACCCTGCAATGTTAACGCCTCCACGTCGAAGTACAATACTGCAAGGGATGAGTTGATCGGAGTGCCAATTCCAAGCCCAACAAATCCTATTTTCTTCAGGTCCACATCGCCGCATGAGAAACTGGTGCTGGAAGACTCTCATTGTTCGAACCTTCCAGCTGCAGGATAGCCCGATTTACATGTGTAGCTTGTTCACTTCGTTAACTGTGCAAAAAAATTACGTTCCATCAAGAAATTACAACTGTAAAATAAAATGAAGCTCAAACCAAAGAAGTTCGGTTAGTGAATTCGAAACAAGGTGTAAACCGTGAAGAAGGTCGACGATAAAAATAAATAAAATAAAGAGTATTGAGCTGACAGGTAAGTGCGCCACAATCTCCAAGTTCACGTTCCAGACACTAGCATTCGTCACCTCACAGATATCTTGGATTCGAATCTAAATTAAAGAGTTTACTACGAGAACGCCTACATTCAAGAGATGATGCAAATATATATATAAGGAAATTTCACTGCACCTTTGAAGGAAATCTAACCACGATACTGGTTAGGGACATCGTACTCCCTCCAGAAGAAGTAGAAGGAAAAAAAATATATATATATATATATATATATATATATTAGGTGAAAATTGTAGTCTTCACAAACACTACTGTATCGGAGCCCCATTCAAATCATTAGATCCCAACCCAAGGCATAAATGTACGCCGATTATAAGGCAAGTGGCATGCTGCACCCTTCAGACATTTGACGATGAAGTTTCGAGATTATCTTGCAACACATTTGGCTATCTAGGAAATCTCAAGGAAAACTCCATTCGGCTGCAAATGAATACCTGGTGAACAGTACCGAAGACAAGGGTGGTAAGCGGACGAAATGCAAGGACCATTATTTCAGAGTACCAAGAGCCTCATGCGCCCTCCATGCCTGTAATCGTGTAGACTAAGTAACCTTAGCTACAATGCACTGTTTCTCTTCAGGGTCGATCCTTTTCAAGATGCGTAAGAGCGTAAAAACTGTCTCGTTGATCGCCTGGATATTTCTCCATATTAATGCAATCCAAAGAACACGCCAAAGATGCCCGTTGCTGCTGTAACTATCTCCACGTGAAGCAATGCAGGGGGGTTGTTAAGTAAGAGTGACCGACAATAGATCTGCCTGCGCAAACACAGGGCCGTACACCTGTCGTTTACTGAAGCGCATTTCACACGAGGATATCCTAGTCTCCAACGAGCAATGCATTGAGTAGTGCGAAATCATCAAGGAATGTATCGTAGGGTTCGGTATAAATCATAATCTATAAATAGTGCATAACTGTCTAGTTATGCTCGTAGAGAGAATTCTACGCAAGTATGTCCTCACATGCGACACCATAGTAGGCACGAACCAAGCCCAACGCTCTCACCAGTGATAAACCTTGCACATAACAAGAATTGGTCGATGAATTGTGCTAGAAACAGACGCTGGTATCGGCACTCGAATATGATGCTCTCCTACTCTCGTCCCGCACCCGAAGCAAATGCAACAAGGGCGCTTTGAAAAAAGACTTAAAAAGCGCAACCTCCTTCCCAAATCAAATCCAAGGCACAACTTACTGGCCGAAAGACTCTCTGCTCACAATATCAACGAAAATGCAGCTTCCTTCGCTCGTCTCCCCACCAAAAAATCATCACACCAACTAAGACCTTAAACAGCATTAGCAATTCCTCAAACTACGCGTCTCGAGATACTCCATACATCTCTCTCATATCACCATCTTCTCAATGGTCATGCGCTACATTGCGAAACCTCTCCTACCTTCCAACAATCACCACAATCACGAACCAAGGGACACTCTCAGCGCAAACACCGGCTCCTTCATTGGAGCAAAAATCAATGGCTACATTCACGAATTGCCTCCTCCAACAGACCCCACCCCCTCCACTATGATCAACGACAATCCGGAATCGAAATCTCTGCTTTCTCCCTAGATATCCCTCACTGCAACATACGTAACTAGGTCTTAGCCTGTCTCGACTCTGGAAAATGTATCCGCATCACGATCCAATCCGTAGAAATGACGAGAGAAAAAAAAAAAAAAAAAAAAAAAAAAAATCAGAATGCGGAAGCACGCAATATTTCAGTTTCAAGAAATGCCAGAGAAGAAAGCGGAGCATTATTGGCAAGTACAGCTTACCAACAGTACAGCGATACTATCTGTCGATTCGGCGGCATTGCGACAATCATCCCACTCTCAGTCTCCGCAAATCCACCGTCCCCGATACAACAAAGCTCGAATTCGTTATTCCCTGTCATCGCCATCGCCATCCAACTTCTGCACTGCCGCCACAGGCACTGTGGGGTCGGGCCGGGCTGCTTGTAGGCAAGCAGCGGGGAACGGGCTGTTTGCGAGTTCCCGGAGCAGTGTTCCCCTCGAGGCGTTTTTGGATCCCTAGGCGTTCTAAATGGAGCCTTCAAATTTTGGAGCCACCTGTAAAGGAGTGGGTTGTTGATATCGCCCGGCCCCTTTTGGCAATGGGGCCCCTCGTTCTGTGCCGGATTAGGGCGCCCATGTGGCTCCCTAACTGTATCAGGCTTAGCCTCCATTTACGTTCCATTGATATTACACAAATTGGCTTTGTTTAGGGACCCACCCTCAAAATCCACGGTTTTATTCATCCATCAGAATCTGCACAGCATGGAACTTCAGCAGAGATGGATGAAAACATGGGCGCCGGACGAACTGATGAGTAGTTGCATGTGTTCCATTCCAAGGTTCTGACTAAGTCACCAGGACGGTTCCATCTTGGAAAAGTGCTGGAGGGAGAGACCTAACAGCACACCAAGTTCTGGGAAGGCCAATCCACACTTTGTTTGAACTTTAACAACTTGGGCAGGGTTTTGGCGCAACCTAATGAATTTCAAAAGAGTTCGACCAAGAGAAACACGGCACGTGTCACTCCTTCTCTTCCAATCAGTTTTCCCCAAATAATGCTGGAGTTATGGCAGCAAATTAACAAAGTCGAACTGATTCGTGTTGTATTATTTCTTCATTGAAACAATTCTTTATATCTCAAATGCTACTAATAACTGAGATTTACTACAAACAACAATTAGTTGTAATATCCTTTTTTGGTGTTAAACACCTTTCCTCATCCTACGTGATTTTTTCTTGTAGGTTTGAAACATTCTCATTCTAGTATGTGTAAGTTACATCTTATGACAATAATCATTGTAAAGGATTTGCTCTATTTGTATTTGAAACCCATTCAATATAAGGTTTTAATTCATACACTTGAAATATAGGTTGATACTCCTATACAACATTTAAAAGTTTCATTGATTTGTTTATTTTATTGTTTATAAATAATGATTTGTAGCTAAATTGCAACTAGGTGTTTTATTGCTATTTAGACTTACACCCCCCTACCCAAAAAAAGAGTGCAAAGTTTAAAATTGAATACACCAAATGTTTGCTGCATAATAGACAAGAAAATTACAAAAGCTATCTGTAAAAAGAATTACAAACATTTTGAGTAACAACATTTTATAATAAATAAATAAATAAATAACATCAGACATCAAATGTGTTTTGGTACATGTAAAATGGTGAAAGAACTGAACAAGTTTTGTAGCAAAATAAAAGAAAATAAGTTAAATTCATAAATTCTTTGACTGAGGTTCTAGTTGGACCAAAGCAAGGACAAAATACTAACATGCATGAATAGAATTGTCATTTTGATAAAAGAAAAAGAAAGAAAAATTAATGCAAAATCAAAATTACAACTATTCAAGTGTATGAATTACAATCATCTAATTATACATTTTCAAAATAAAATTTGGTAATCCAACAAAATTATTACAATATATATATATATATATATATATATACATATATATATATATAGAGAGAGAGAGAAAGAGAGAAAGAGAGACAGAGAGAGAGAGAGAGAGAGAGAGAGAGAGAATATTCTATAAAATAAATATTCTAAATGATGTTTCAAAAAATCATTCTTCAAAAATTACAGTGCAAAAATAATAGTGTTAAGGACAAGAACATGATAAAGATAAATAAACAAGTGAGACTTCTCTCAAAGAAAGATGACAAAATAGAAATAACTTAATATGTATATTAAGAAAGAAACTGGAATGGCTATTACTAAAAGCCAAGAAAACTAGAAACCCTTGAAACTAAAGTGGAAGCAAGAAAAGAGTTGATAAGAGTGAAGAAGGCTTCACTCTTGTCACTATATATACTATCTTACTAGGGGATGTATGGCATCGTTCTATATGACCTCCAATATGTGTTGACTTTGTAGGACACATGCCTTAACTAACAAGGCAAGTTTTTCTACATGTGGGCCACATTGTTAGCTTGGTCTTCAAGCTAACAGCATGTGTGGCACATGGCCAACTTGTTGACTACGTTTCTAATCCCAAAAAGACAATTAAATATACCTATAAAGTCAAAGCAGCGTCTATAAAGCTTCTAGGAAGCTTCCATACCAAATACTATAGAATTAACTTACTTTTACCTACTTTTACTTACTTCTATCTATTTATATATGTAATTACTAGCTTACATGCATATGTCCGTGACATTATCCTCCCTTCTAGGCACGAGTTCCAAAAGGAGTGGTAATCATACGTTGAAGAAATCTATGATGCGACGAATTGTATTCGCCACATACTCTGATCTTTGTTCTCTTTGAAGATGATTGATAGGGCTTGTCAATCATCGATAGTGTTCCATACCAGGTTGGAAAGACCATCCAATTATTTGATCATTGTTGAGGCCTTCATAACTTCCTTCGAATAAAATATTTGGAACACCATCAAGAGTTGTTCCTACTTCTAGTAAAATCACCAAATATCGAGAGTCCTTTCCAAGATTGTGATACCAAATACATTGTATCTTGCCATCTATTCTAGGAAGAACATGTCATTCTTGAACATCTTCATATCGATTACATCATCTTGAAGGTTGTGACAATCGTAATGTCTTATCCAGTAGGTCAACAAACGAAGGCTCTTAAGTCGAATCTCCTAGTTATTGGTTCTCCATCTCTTGAGCATCACAACTACAAAAAAGCTACAAATAAGGATTGAAAGAAGAATGTTATCTTACCTAGATCTTGTTTTTTTTATAAAAAAGGTTTTCATCTTGATTTTGATGGATGTTGTCGATAAAAAGCCTCCAGTGCCTTTGCTGCATTTGCAAGATATTTTACTGGCTTCCATGTGCATTCACTAATATCATATCACTGCCAATGGACAAGATATTCTACTTTATTTTGGCGCCACCTTGAATCTAAGACTTCTTCTACTTCAAACTCTTCATTATTGTTTACTTCTATAGGAGGAGGTGGAGCTTGTCTTCTTTTTGGCATGTCCAATGTCTTGTATGGTTCAAGAAGAGACACATAGAATAGTAGATAGATTTTCATTGACTCTGGTAGATATAAATGATATGCAACTAGATTGATTTGTGCAAAAATAGAAAATGGTCCAAGCCTTTGATAATCCAACTTGTCACAAGGATGAGTGGTCTTGATATTGTGATGAAGTAACCATATCTTATCACCCATGTGAAATGGTGGTTGTTTCTTTCGATAGACATCCGCATTGACCTTTTATTCTTCTTGAGCTTCTTTTAATTGTGCCTTCATTGTTGCATATAGCTCTGAAAAATGAATTGCCAAATCTTTCTTAGCAGGATTATCAACTTTTAAAAAGTCAAAAGTATCAAGTTATGGATGATAACCATAATTGACAAAGAAAGGTGTTTGTTTTATAAAAGAATATACTATATTAATGTAAGCAAACTCTGTCAATGGCAAAAGAGTTGTCCAATCATCTTGTTGGTAGTTAATGGTACATCTTAAATATTTTTCCAAAACTTGATTAACACGCTCTATTTGTCCATCAGTTTGAAGATGGAATGTCAAAGATAGTTTTATATTGACTTTTAGAATCTTGAAAAGAGTCCACCAAAATCTCGATACAAATTGAGTTTTTATATCTGATATAATATCCTTGGATAATCCATGATAGCAATAGATATTGATAAGAAAGAGCTTAGCTATTTCTTCACCTGTGATAGATTTTGTACATAGTATAAAATGTACCATCTTGGTAAAACAATCCACTATCACGAATATAGAGTCATAAGAACATGAGATTGGAAGATCCATGATGAAATCCATAGAAATAGAGGACCATGGTTGTTTTGGAATGGATAATGGCTGAAGAAGTCCGTAAGATTGATGATGAGGAGTTTTTGAACTTGAGCAAACATCACAAGTTTGTACAAAATCTTTGACTACTTTTCACATTTGTGGCCACCAAAAGTTCCTAGATATTAGTTCTAAAGTTTTATTGTACCCAAAATATCATGCTTTTGGAAAGTTATGACGAGCTCGAAGATCACGTAATCGAGCTTCACCTTCTGGAACATATAGGCGTCCCTCAAAATATAATAGATTTTTCTTGAATTCAAACTTGGAAGTATCATCAGACTTTAAAGGATTTCTCTTAATATCATGAATAAGAGGATCAGAAGATATACTTGATTAAACTTGCTTAATGAAAGTTGAATTAATAGTTAGTGTTGATTTCATTGCTCAAAGATGAAGATGCTTTGGCTTCAAGAGAATTATTCGTTGTTGATCAAAAGCAGCATCTTATTCCTTTAGTGTAAGGTAAGATCATCTAGAGAGTACATTTAATAAACCTTGTTGTTTTCCTGGTTGATAAGTGAACTTGAATTCAAATCTTGACAAAGATATACTCTAATGGGATTGGCGACAATTCAAAACATGTGTTGACATAAAATATTCAAGGTTCTTGTAATTCGTATACATTGTGACTGGACTAGAAGCACCTTCTAGATAATGGTGCCATTCTTGAAACGAATCCACAACTGCAAAAAGTTCTTTGTCGTAGATCTCGTAGTTGATCTCGGTTGCTGAAATTTTTTTGGAATGAAAAGCTATTGGATGAGGTTTATTATCTATTCTCATTTATGACAATACAATACCCAAAGCTAAGTCTTATGCATCCGATTCCATAAAAAATGGCTTAGAAAAATTGATGCGATATAAAATTGGTGCAGAAACAAAGGTTGTCTTCAAATCTTCAAATGCTACTTCTGCTTCTTGATTCCATTGAAGTTTGTCTTTGTAAGTCAAACATTGTTGTATTACATGCTATCTTACTTAAAAATGCATCGGGCGTCTGGCTGTGGAAGATAAAATAATATTTTGCAAGTATCCAGGTAGGCTAGTGGGTTTCAACCTTCTAAATACAAACTATTTCGGATTTCAATGTAGAAGCTTAATCCCAATACAAAGTGCTTAGAAACACTATTTTTAATAATTTTAAGATATTATAAGCACAAAGTCT